TTATAGTGGCAGAGACTGTATGACATTTGACTATTTTCTTGTTTATTGGTATTACTTTGGGGGATTTTTTTTTATTTTTTGAGTTGGAGTTTCACTCTTGTTGTGCAGGCTGGAGTGCAGTGGTGCCGTCTTGGCTCACTGCAACCTCTGCCTCCCGGGTTCAAGCAATTCTCCTGCCTCAGCCTCCTGAGTAGCTGGGACTACGGGTGCCCACCATCATACCTGGCTAGTTTTTGTGTTTTTAGTGGAGATGGGGTTTTGCCATATTGGCCAGGCTGGTCTCAAACTCCTGACCTCAGGTGATCCACCCACCTCAGCCTTTCAAAGTGTTGGAATTACAGGCATAAGCCACTGTGCCCGGCTTTTTTTTTTGGGGGGAGGGGGTGCAGATAGTCTCACTCTGTTGCCCAGGCTGGAGTGCAGTGGAGCAATTGTGGCTCACTGCAACCTCTGCTTCCCGGGTTCAAGCAGTTCTCTTCCCTCAGCCTCCCAATTAGCTGGGACTACAGGTGCCTGCCACTACACCCAGCTAATTTTTTTGTATTTTTAGTAGAGGCAGGGTTTGCCCTGTTGGCCAGGCTGGTCTCGAACTCCTGACTTCAGGTGATCCACCTGCCTCGGCCTCCCAGAATGCTGGGATTATAGGCATGAGCCACAGTGTACAGCCTTGGGGGATATCTTTTTCATAGCGATTTCAAGAGCAAAGGATTCCTGGGCAGCACAACACGTGAACTGAAGGGAGAATGAGCGCTCTGAATTTTTCTGTTACTCAGCACCAGTGTTTTATGTACTGTATGAGCTGGCCGGGGTCCATGGGTCAGCAGAGATGGTAAGAGTCCGGCTGCCTAGATATCAGCCTCTGGTGGACTTGGCTGCTTCTCCCCTCAAGTTCTCCCTGGGCGGTCGCCCACAGCTTAGCCATCTGCAGGCAGCCCTTCCCTGACCTGTGGGCAGCTCCAGCAGGTTTGTCACAACCCTGAGGGGACATAACTCTTTCTTTTTTGTTGTTTTTGAGATGGAGCCTCACTCTGTTGCCCAGGCTGGAGTGCAATGGCATGACCTCAGCTCATTGCAACCTCCGCTTCCCAGGTTCAAGTGATTCTCCTGCCTTAGCCTCCCGAATTTGCTGGGACTACAAGCGCCTGCCACCATGCCAGGCTAATTTTTGTGTTTTTAGTAGAGGCGGGGTTTCACCATGTTGGCCAGGCTGCTCTCGAACTCCTGACCTCAGGTGATCCACCTTCCTTGGCCTCCCAAAGTGCAGGGATTGCAGGCGTGAGCCACTGTGCCTGGTCGTTCATAACTCTTTCTTTAAGGGAAATTTTTAGTACCTGAATTCTATTTTTATTAGAAATCATATCTCATTTTTACTCAGTTTATCTACATTATTATTTTTTTATTTTTAAAATTTTTTTTATAAAGATGGGGTTTCACCGTGTTGGACAGGCTGGTCTTGAACTTCTGACCTCAGGTGAGCCGCCTGCCTTGGCCTCCAAAGTGCTTGGATTATAGGCGTCAGCCACCGCGCCCGGCCCAGTTTATCTATATTATGTAGCCTCTTTGCGTTTTGGAAAACTTAGCTTCCTTGGGAATAAAAGGACTCCTTCGGTCACCCAGATGGGCCCACGCTTCCAAATTTGCTTGATGTTTCAGCCCGGGCTTCGCCTCTCCAGAAACCAGTAGCCTGCCTGGTTCTGGCTGCTCATGGAGTGAGTCCTCTGCTCCCAGGTGAGTAAGTCAGAAACAAGTGGGTCACCTCCAGATTTCAGGTCCCAGCCACCAAGTTGTAGTCTAAAACTTTAAGGCATTTCCAATCCCCCGAAGGTGTTAAAAATACAAGTTGCTTCCAGAGGCTTCTGTAACCCTTATTAACATGTAGTCATGAGGCTGGGCACGATGGCTCACGCCTGTAATCCCAGCACTTCGGCAGGCCAAGGCGGGTGGATCACCTGAGGTCAGGAGTTTGAGACCAGCCTGACCAACATGGTGAAATCCTGTCTCTACTAAAAATAAAAAAATTAGCTGGGCATGGTGGCGCGTGTCTGTAATCCCAGCTACTCAGGAGGCTGAGGCAGGAGAATTGCCTGAACCCAGGAAGGCGGAGATTGCGGTGAGCCGAGATCGCGCCATTGCACTCCAGCCTGGGTAACGAGAGCGAAACTCCGTCTCAAAAAAAAAAAAAAAAAAAGGTATTAAAATTCTTTACATAGCATTTACATTGTATTTGGTATTATCAGTAATCTAGAGGTGATTTGAACCATACAGGAAAACGTGTGCAGGGTCTATGCAAACACTGCCATTTTCTGTCAGGGCCATGAGCATCCAGAGATGTTGGTATCCCTGAGGGGTGTCCTGGAACCAGTCCCTCCAGAACACTGGGAGACAGCTGTACTTTGGGCCCAACTGGAATCCATGATAATCCACTTATCTTAAGATTCTTTTTTTTTTTTTTTTTTTTTTTTTTTTTTTTTTTTTTTTGTTTTTTTTTTTTTTTTTTTTTTTTTTTTTTTTGGTT